CCTCATGTGAGTCCAGAGAGAGAGAGAGTCCTCATATGAGTCCAGAGAGAGAGAGAGTCCTCATATGAGTCCAGAGAGAGAGAGAGTCCTCATATGAGTCCAGAGTCCTCATATGAGTCCAGAGAGAGAGAGAGTCCTCATATGAGTCCAGAGTCCTCATATGAGTCCAGAGAGAGAGAGAGTCCTCATATGAGTCCAGAGAGGATGAGCCTGATATATATATATAGAGAGAGAGAGAGAGAGAGAGAGAGAGTCCTCATATGAGTCCAGAGAGAGAGAGAGTCCTCATATGAGTCCAGAGAGGATGAGCCTGATATATATATATAGAGAGAGAGGGAGTCCTCATATGAGTCCAGAGAGGATGAGCCTGATAGAGAGAGAGAGAGAGAGAGAGAGAGAGAGAGAGTCCTCATGTGAGTCCAGAGAGGATGAGCCTGATAGAGAGAGAGAGAGAGAGAGAGAGAGAGAGTCCTCATGTGAGTCCAGAGAGGATGAGCCTGATAGAGAGAGAGAGAGAGAGAGAGAGAGAGTCCTCATGTGAGTCCAGAGAGGATGAGCCTGAGAGAGAGAGAGAGAGAGAGAGAGAGAGAGAGAGAGAGAGAGAGAGAGAGAGAGAGAGAGAGAGAGAGAGAGAGAGAGAGAGAGAGAGAGAGAGATGTCTGGCTCTTCTCAAAACACTATTTGACCGTTTTCTTTTTGTGAATGACTATTATATTATTTATTGTAAGTTAAACATGAAAGACGATGCTTTACTAAAAGAGTATGTGTACTGAACAATCAAATACAAATAATTATTTACAACAACTCTCTTTAGACCAGAACAATATTATTTATATGTGTCTCTTATTAATTGTTTAATAGTTGAACTACCAAACAAACTTTAAGAGTTAAGAATAATATACAGAGGCGGACAGAGTACAGAGCTTTGTTACTTGAGTAAAAGTACAGATACCCCTTGCTAAATTTTACTCAAGTACAAGTAAAAGTACTACAGTCAGATGTCTACTTAAGTAAAAGTACTAAAGTACTTGTTTTTAAAAGTACTTGAGTATCAAGAGTACAAGAGTAAATTTTCTAAATATTGCATTACTAATCTACTGCCACAGTGCTTACATTTATGCACAGAAACGTCCTACATGGAGTTATGAAAAATTTTAATGTTAATACCTTGGAGAATGTAAAAGGAATTGAAAGTAAAATCAAGTCATTTTCATCTTTTTACCATGTTGCTTTATTTAATTTAATTAAATTTTTGGGGGGTCCCATCTTAAATGCGGGGACAACACACACACACACACACACACACACACACACCACATGTAAGGGTGGCGCTGCCAATAAAGCACCTAAAAGCTGTCACAAAGAACCGGCAAAAGGAATGATTATGAATATGTAAAATATAGCAAGGAGATATTTTAATTGTTTATTAATAAACACTTGTTAATAAACAAGTGTTTTCTTTGTCAGTGTCGGCTAGATGAAGTTGACGATGCTGACTCGCGATCTTCAGCAGTGAACGCGCCAGAGAGAAATGCACATTTCATACGGATTACATAAGCAGAGAGCAGTCTGTAGTCTGTTTTCTTTCGTTTTGAATTTTTCTGTTTAAAAGTAGACATGTCTGTGAGAGGCAAGTAGGCTACCTTATACACTGTGTTTCGGTTCATTTATGAGACGAGATCCAGTTCACGTCCGGCGCCTCCGTTTCTTATCTATCGTCTGCTATTTACTTCTTATTTATTAAACCCAGGCAATTGGTTGATGAAACCTTGATTAAAATTAAGATACAATTAATGCAAAACAAAATTCAGGTTAAAGAAAGGTTTTGTGTTTTCTGTTTGATGTCTCTGTGAAAGTTTTAAAGCATTTTTTATGCCGCTTTCAGAGCGCTCACGTCCGTAACGGAGAACACGTCCATAACATTGTTTTTTCCTCATAAATGCAAACCCGAAAAATAAAATAAAACAAAATTAATATTTTATGTACTGTGGAGACTGAGCCCTTCTTCATTCGCTGGGTAGTAGCCTACTTTGGTTTGCGCAGTGTAATTCACATAATCAGTAAAAATATATTTTGCCTCCTAAAGTTTTTTTTATTAAGAAAATCAGAAATCCCTCGTGGCTATGCCACTGCCACATCTGTGTTAAACACACCACATACTCAAGAACATCAAACCAAATGCTTGGCTTACATTAATGTGTAATATAAAATCTGACCATGGAGTTGACTTTGGCGGAAAGCTGAAAGTGATTGCTGATAGGCTGTCCCAATCAGTGGCGCCTGCACAATCCAATCACGTTTGAGAGGGAAACAACAAATTGAGGGTGTCCGAGATTTTTCTTTTTTTTTTACTGTTTTTTTATTTTACTCGGGTACTCACGGTTATGGATAGAAATGTATTGGAGTAAAGAGTACAATATTTGCCTCTCAAATGTACTTGAGTAAAGTCATGAGTACTCCCCAAAAATGATACTCGAGTAAAGTACA